GGCCGGTCCTTTGATTGTCGGGACCCGAGGCAAAGCCTAAAAATTGGGCCCCCCTCCTGAAATTAACTTAAATGCAATGGATATATATATATATATAGTTGGGTAATTGGACTAAGGCTAAGGACATTTGATTGGATTTGAGCTTGAAGTTGTGGGCTGCATTTCTGCATCACTGTGTCTGATTCAAGTTCAACTATAAAAGAGAGAGAAAAAAAAATTCTAGGCCCAAAGTGAGGCTCCCCTAGATGTTGGGCCTGAGGCATAGGCCTCATTTGCCTAGCCCTCAGGACCGGGCCTGATTGCAGCCTTGCACTGAAACTTCCCGAAATGCACCTTTCCAAGTGTATCTGGGTCATGGCATCGAGATGAGAGCAAGACATTGCCTTGCCCTCATGCCGGAATATTGCGGGCAAGTGTACTGGTAGTGCACACTTTGGATCTCGTGAGTAAGGCAAACATGGGTTTTCAGCTTGTGGACATTTTGCTTCAGTTTGGCCAGTGTCAAAGTGTTACAGGTTTGCAAAATTTAGCAAGACATGGACGGATCCAACTTGCTGTTCAGTGTGCTCTAGTCCACAAATTCAAGTGTCCAAATCAAGCACATGTTTGACATATGTTTTTGGATAGTTTTCATGGTCCATACTAGTGAAAAGTATGGGCATTTGCTAGGAAAGGTCATGGAAGGCAGTTTCTGGCAATTTTTGCAATAGTGGGTAGGTTTATCCCTTTGGCAGTTAAGGTTGTTAACTGCACACGAATTATAGCTTATAAATACGAGGGTTTAGGCTGATGAGACACAGACTTCTTGTGTTCTTCCAGTGTTCCCTCTGTTTCTTGCATTATTGTGGAGTAATAAATGAGTTGTGTGTTTACCCATAAAAATCTGTATTTGTTCCCTTACATTGTTGCCTTTATTGTTTTTTCGTGTGTATTGTGCAAATTCGTGGACTGATTGAGTGAGAACTTTAGTGCCATCATAGACGAAAATTTGGCTAAAGAATCTCCCAAACTTCGTCCCTGTGATAATACCCATATCTGCTAATTCCTCAATTGTCTATTCTAGTCCAGTATATGTTCAAATAAACTGCATAATGTTGTACATATGCATGCATGAATGAATGAAATTTACGTGACAAATCCTAATTTATGATCCCAAATCCCAAAACAATTTGTTAAATAATAATGATGATTAGATAAATTATTACGCGCCGACTAATTACGTTCTGTATGTTGGGAGTAATTATTTAATTATAATTAATTAACTTATGTTTTAGATTACCTGATGGAAAAGGTCGGTTAATTAATTAAAAAAAATAAGCAGCAAAACCGTCTTTTCCCGATATGTCGGCGGGGTTTAATGTTTAATTTTGTGGTTGGAATTATTAATTGTTTGACTTGGTAGGTCAATGTATAACTCCTTTTGGCTATTTATATATAATAATTAATTAGTTAGTATTTGATTAAAAAAGTAATTAATTTGGCGGCTAAGTGGTTGGAATCCAATGGGTTAATGTTCTTAGATTCTTTCTTGTTACGTCTTACAATTAAAGACCAACCATGCATCAACAATTTTTCTTAATTACCAAGTAATTAACTTGTTGCTTACAATGCAAAAGTTTCCTTCTTTTTTATTTTATTTTATTTTATCTGGACAATCTTATTTGCAGTCACTCACTAACGTAATTTCTCTATGTAGAATAGTGGTTGTTAGTAATTTGATGCATTACGGTAAAATGTGAATTTATACACTTGATGTTTAGATTAGATAATCATTCAATATTAATTTATTTTCACCTAAGCTCTATAGGAAAATTCTCATTCTCTCGCCAGAAATTTTAAGTGATTATTTACTTTGGGTAAGTAATAAATAAGCTCGTCAAACTAGAAATATATAATTTTTTTTCTTTCTTGTTTTCTAACTATAATAAATGATTTTGTATAAGAATCCAATTGAATCAGTCAAAAATCTTTATCTAGATTCACATTGTTTAGAAAGGCTCTTTTTGAGCCCGTTAATTTGAAGAAATGTATTATGAAAGAGTGATTGATAGAGAATGCGTGGTTAGAAAGGAATAATATTTTTTAATTTGCATATAATATTATTTTAATGAAGAATGTGTGATTAAAAATGAATACTGTAGAAAAATAATATAAAAAGATTGTAAAGTAAAGGATGACAAACAGAGACAAAACTTATTTTGTGCCAGTTTCTTTTAGACATCATCTGCACATAATATCATATTATCAATTAATGCTATTGTATGAATAAAAAACAATTTTCACAATACTTCAGTCGAGAATATTTTTTCCTAATGAATTGGCTAATGACTATAAGAAAAGAAGAGGTATCGGGGTTTGTCTCGAAAGGTTCTAAATGATGGGTCCAATAAGTTCAGTCAATTAGACAAATTTGGTGTTGAACCCAAAACAGAGCTAGGTCTTATATGAGTACTTCCTGGTCTTATATTAGAAGTGTTATACCACTTCGACAGAAAGTGATTAACAGATAAAGTGATATAAATTATAATGTTAGTTGGCAAGATATGATTGGATGAAAAAGTTGACTGTGTTTAAAACAATCCAACGATGAACTATCATGTGGTATTATGTCAATCATTATGTTAATAATTATATTACTGTAGCATGATTCATTTCAGAATATAAGTAGACTATGCACAATATCATTCTTGCCTTCGAACTGCATCATCCTTTGGAGAAGAGATGTAATGGGAGGAAGGGTCGTATGGCGCTCAAATCAACCATGAGTAAGGCATAATATAGAGTAGATAGAGATGATTAGTTTCTTGGAGAGTCGGACAAATTTGATTAGGCATAACCTTTCTACTTCCAATTTCGCCTTCATGGCAAGGGACAGAAATGATAAATGAACACACGAAATACGAGAAAACAATTCCCACTTAGTACCACAATAAAAGATAACTCACACACTTAGGCTATGGATCATAACAATGCCCTAGCTATTAAGGCAAGATTTCAGATGTTTCTTACCAAGAAAACTGTCCCAACCAGAGAAGAACCAACTTGTCTGCAAAAACTGCTTTGCATATGTCAATCCCTTGACATATAATTGCCGAAAGTTACCGCCTCAGTGAACTTAGTCCAGCCAACTTGAAACTTGTCCATAAAATGAATTTCAGGTATGCACACCACGAATCTACTAGGTTTCATTTCTTCGAAAGCCAACCCAACTACCTTGCATGTTTGGTTCTGTCTGTGTCATGCCTTCGTCCATGCACTATCCATTCAATCATTCCTAAATGATTATCAACATTGTTTCCTTGCACCGAAACTTCTCGAAATGCAACTTCCCTAGTGTAACTCTGCCATGGCATCGACATGAGATCAAGACATTGCCCATGCCTTAGACATTTCGGCAGTTGCGACCATCAAGTGGTCACACCTAGCTAGATTCCTATTAAAGTTTTGTGCTCTCGGCTACAAATGACCATACGGCCAAACTCTTCAATTAAAGTCAACCGATTTAGTCTAATTAATTTTGGGCCATACTTTGCTCTTATTTTAACAAATAATGCATATATTATTGTAGTAGATAACTCTTTTTATCATTTATGTTTAAAATATTATTAGTAGAGATAACATTTTGATAGTTGGGCAGGTGAAACAAAAATAAAATTTTCGTAGTTTGAGAAGAAAACACACAGAAAGCCAATGTTTTTGTCATTTATGTAGATGTGGAGTCACAAATGAGATGGGGTTTGCACCAAGAAACAGGAAAAAATGCAAAGTTAATTTATCTTCATTCACACCTCTCCCTTCGGTCTTGCTTACTGCCATCCAGCCTCTGTCATAGGCCTGGTCGAGGAAGCTGAGAGGAAAAAGGCAGAATTCACCCAATGCAATATTAAACAAGTCCGAACTCTTGAATCATTCCTGGAGTCCGTGTCTGGCGACTCATTCCATACTAGAAATAATCACAGGAATCCTTGGATAAAACGGATTCAAGTTGTTTTTAACTTTATTATACAAAAATCGAATAGTAATGAACATCAATATACTATCACTCTCAAAGAAATTACAATTCTATGCGTGTTTACCAAGACATCAAAGTATCACAAATGGCTCAAATTAGTGTATCAAATTGAAACAAAAAACTCGGACGCTCCCAAACAAATGCACTGAAGTTGTTTCTATGAACTTGAATACCCTAACCTTGTTATTAAAACCCTCTTCTCACACCAAAGACTCGTTGGTTCACAAAGAAAATTCCCAAAAATCTTCCAACCATAGGTTGAAGACGACGGAGAAGGCGAGGAGAAGACACAGAAACTTCTAGAAGCAATCGCAATTGATCTCAGATCAAGATCAATGGTCAAAAACAATTAACTACTTATCAAGTTTAGGAGGCAACTAAAGTTGCACGTCAAAAAACGATTTTAGTCCATTTATTTGGTTCCGAGTTCTGGACTTCATCACTTCGATTTTCATTTCCCAGTTAAACTGAATTGACATCACAATCCAACAAGTTTTTACATTATTTTAGTTGTGTTTTTATTTTTATTTTTCACCATGGAAGGCTAAGCGTTCAATATTATTTTGAATTGTTTCCTGGTATGGCTTGCAAAGGAGATTTGATTTGATCTTTGACTTCTTTAAAATCACTCATAGCCGTTGAACTTAAATGAAAGATTCCAGAGTCTTTATCTGAGAAATAAAAGTTGCAATCTTCGCTATTATTATGCTATGATTAATATATTTCTCATGCAATAAAAAAGAATAATATTTTTAACTTAGTGTTTGGACGATTATTGGTTTATGTGGTAATATGATGATCACTATCATATTGTTCAATGGAGCGTGGCGCTACCTCGATGGGTGGCCCACACACCTTGAGGTAACGTGGTGGGTCACTCGCCAAGGTGGCCCTCCCTTAAAGGACGATCGCACCACTTGGACGATTTGATCGTTTTACTGAAGTATTTCTTTGTTCAATGTCCGAAAATGCATTCAAACTTCATTAAATGTGACATTATCACGATGAACCCATTATTCATGATTGTCAAGATCCTACATAAATAGCATTATTAAATAATAAAAAATACATTTGAAAATATATGATAATGAGATAATTAATTTAGAATAATGGCATGTAGTCCCACTAGAGTTACAATCCTAATCCAGGTGGACTTAGATGATAGTTTGAATGAAAGGTAAAATTAAATGATTAATTTAATTTTACCAATCATTTAATACCACATTAACGCTACGTAGACTGAGATTGTAATTCCAGTAAGGATTACTCGTTAATTTATCTAATAACCCGAAACAAATTCCATGAACTCTGAGTCAGATTCCAACGATGCCATGGTGTCTGGCGCCAAAACCACCTCTAGATCAACACTTCCACCACCATTACGTCCCGGAAATGCAGAAATCTTGCCATCAAATTTGTTGGCCCGACCACTCCGAACCGCCATAGGTCGACCCCATCCAAAATCATTATCGTACATTGGAAATCGGGGAGAGCTACCCATTGTGATCATCGCGCCATCAAAATTTCCCAATGGGAAACACCTTGGGTCTTGCTCCCAGTCACTTATGTACTTTCGTACGGTAGCGTTATCGTGCGCTAGCACATTTTTGTTTAATTGCTCGGCACACCACCGTAGATCTTTAGCCAAAACATCACCGGCAGTTGCGAATGTTGGAATGCTCTGAATCGCGTTGCCGAAATATAGAGGCTCCAGCTTCGGCTCCAGTCGGTGACGGCAATTCACTGCCATCCGGAACGTTGTCCTTTTGGAAGCTGGTAAATTTCTGGCACGCGTGATGCCGCGCCATAAGAGAGCACATAGTGATTGAAACGATGAAATCTCGGCCGTTTGATCTGATGAATAATTTGATTCCCTGGAAATGGCGTTTCTGAACCAAGTTATCGGCGTCAACTTCCCGTCGGGAAATTTCAACGGGTCATTCCTCTGTTTGCCCATCAATTCGATAATATTTAATTCCCATTTCTGATTGTTGGTTTTGGATTTCAGCTTCTGAATTGATTCTCTGCTAAAACTGAAAATTCTCTCCCTCAACGGAGCGTCGACGGAGAAACTAACCTTAGGTCCGCCGGCGGGGAGTTTCAACACTGCAGGAGAAATAAAAACCGAGTCACGACAGAAATCCGACGTCCTTGAAATCCTCTTGACACCTCTACTTATCTCAGCAAAAGTGTTAAAGAAATTCCAGAAGGAGGTCCCATCTGTAATAGCGTGATTCACGGCGCAACCAATGAAAACTCCGTCAGCCAATTCCGTGACCTGAACGGCAAGAATAGGGCTGAAATGGCCTTCATAACTCACCTTTTGATCAAAAGCAAAGAACCCCTTAACTTCTTGAGGCACATCAATGGAGCCCAGAACGTCCCTTACATAAATATTTGACCCATTGGCGTGGATAAAATCCACTCCAGCATCATTGCAGGTAATGTAAACATATCCCTCCGAATCGGTGGTGAGTCGACCCGCAAGTGGCGGAAAATGTGTCAATGTCTGTGAGAGACTGGTTTTGAGTAGAGCAACGAGTTGATAAATGGGAAATGGTGGGCGGGTAAACAAAGCCCCTTTCTGAATGTAGTGACAAGATAGCATGGGGAGGTCCGAAACAGAAAGTCTAAGGACACCCAAATTGGATTTATGGGCTGGGAAAATTGTGCATTTGGAGACCAGAGGAAAGCACTGCGAAGGCATTTTCAATTCTTGAATTTATGCTTTCGCAGTCTTTTTGTGCTCACTTGAGAAGAGGGATTGAAGTGAGAACTGAGAGTGAAGAGTGGAGGAGTGGCTTTTATAGGGGTGGGGGTGTGTGGTTGGGTTCATGCATTTGCTAAGGTGGCTGGTCAAGGTTGATGGTTGAGGATTTTTAAATGGGTAAGCCGGTGGGCACTGCTGATACTGAATATTTGGGTTGACTTAGGCAAATTGTATGATTGGAAGGGCACGTGTACAACTATCACAATTAACTCAATAACTTAATGTTTAATTAAACAAAAATTGGGATTCATCATTTTTGCGGAGCACTGAAAATAGAAGTAAAATGCTCCTCTACCATGCCTGTAAGAGGCCTGGTAGAGGCCCTCTCTCTCATTGTTCTTACCTCAACGTGGGCCTCAACGTCTTAAAAAATGAAAAAAAAAAAAAAAACCCACTCCACCTATGTGAGGAGTCGATAAGACCTCTGTAAGTGTTGGGTTTGCACGCCCAACACGTTTGAAATTAGAATTAGAATTGGTCATTGTGCTAATTTCATATTTTATACTTGAAGGATTAATCTATTTTGATAGAAGAAAAACGATAAAGAGGTTAGCAAACATGTATGTGATAGTACATGATTGAATAAAAATGTTGACAGTATTTTAAACTGTCTAATAATAAAATATCATATGACATTATGTGAAAGATTATGTTAATCATTATATCACTATAGCATGATTGATACGTGAAGATAGTCAGTTTATCCCCCGTTGACATGTTGGTGAAATAGACATTATAATAACAAACATTATTAGAGGAGAAAGAAAATTAAAATTTTGGGAAAAAATTAGGACTAAACTCCCTTTTTTCTTTTTGGGTGAAGTGTAGAATCGACTTACTAATCTTTAAAATTGAGGGGTTGACTACCCAACACATGCAATTATGTGAGATTGGGTTCCACCTAATCTAATTTGTTACTCCATCTGTCTCATTTATATAAACTGACTTTCCTTGTTTTCTTATTCCAATCATATAATTGGGTTTTTATATTATGAATGTTTGTTTTGTTTGTTTACTAATATATTTTTATTTAGTTTGCTCAGTACTAATTTTTTCCACTTAATCTTGAAAAATTGTACAAACTTAAATAATGTCAAATTAGTAAAGTTTTTGGCAAAAATTGCTTTTTTCAATAACATTGAGGGCTTGTTCAGTTGTAATTAGGAGAATTGATTTTTTTACTATTAGAAAGAAAAATGGATCTCACTTATGAGTGAAGAAGTTAAAAATTACGATTGATATAGTGTGAAATAATGAAATAACGGTCAAAAAATTAATTTTTTAAAGTGAAAAATTGCTACCAAACGGGAGCAATATAAGATTTTTTTTTTTTTTTTTAATTTGTGTGAAAAATAAAATAAGTCTATACAAATGGGATGAGGTGAGTATGTTGATAGTTGAAAATTTTGTTTTAAAATGACTATTATGTCCTAACTATAAACTAAATACTAAAAGATTAAAATGGAAAAATAAACAAATTGAAAAAATAAAAATAAAAAAATCTGTTAAATAAACAAAAAGGAAAAAGAAAAATAAATAGCATTTAATACATAGTTAGGACGTAATAGTCATTTTAGATAAACTTTGACTCTTCATCTATCAAAGTAATAGACTAATAGTTTCCATTAGGTGAGAATCCAACCTCTCAATCGTAAATAGGTGGGGGAGTCAAAAATCCATTTTTAGGAGTCAATTCTATTCTTCATGAAAGGCTGAGAGGTCTCCTAATTTTTCCAAAATTTTAACTATTATACAATCAATCACCTTTGAATGCTAAAAACCAACCTTTTGTTAACTATAGCAATCAACTTTTAAAATATCTTTTTCGTCCGATTTTCCAAATACTTATGGCATCCTCTCGTTCTTAAAGTCAATTATTCAAAAAATTATGCGCCTATTAAAATGTATGAGTATTAAAAAAGATTATTGCTATACATATAGATCCATCGACCTTACATTTTAGTCATCCAGCAATCTTGATCGAGAAACTGAAACCTAACATAAGTCGTAAGAATGAGTTCTTAATAAATTCATGAATTGAGTTTGATCTTTGAGGGTAAGAGAGAAATATTACAAGAGTTGAGTTTGATAGATGGAAGGGTGGCGAAACATTACAAGAGTGTACAAAGGTGATTGGATTTGCAAGCTTGCTACATAAACATGCTTATTGACAGACCTTTTCTTTTTACACATAAACTAGGTGAAATTTCATTCGCAGTAATATAAAAAGAAAAACAAAAACAAATAGTGGCCAATCAAAAATTATCAACTCATTCCCAATGAATGCTCTGAAGAATGAAAAGACGTATAAGGGCTAAATCAATTTCATGCAGTTTTTTTGGGGAGAGAAATTACCCTTATCATTGCAGTCAAGCTATACGTACAGAACTCATACAAAATACACACATGCATGGGTGGATGAGTTATTTTTTGTAATATTTTAATTTGTTGGATATTGGTTAAATAAATCGAGAATTGAAAATCGATTAAAGTGACTTCGTATCGACTTCGACCAAATACTTAAAAGCTCGACTCAATCCGTTTAGGCAAAATTGTTTGCCACTTCGCCGATTCGGGGCGCACAAACGGGGATCGACCTGCCTGTATTGAAGGGTATATTTGGCATTTCGAAAACTAATACCGGATGAATGAGAAATTACGAAAAATGACGAAAATCAGGTCAAAATATTTGACCGTGCGACCGCATGGTTGGTAAACCGCGCGATCACACGTCAAATTCAATTCCAGTACCGCACGGTTGTCCGGTGAATAGACACCTTTTCATAAAGGTGCATTGTTTGGAAAGGGTGCATGGTTTGGCCTCAACCATTTCGTCCACACCCTTTCATGGTCTATAAATAGGACTCTTTGGGTGTTCTATTCCTCACAATTTGATATGCAAAACATCTCTCATCCTCTCTTCTATTCAAAATCAAAATCATTTCATTTATTTTGATTTTCCTTCATTTCATCCTTGGAGTACATAAGCCTAAATTTGGTTCGTTGTACTTGTGTTTTGGAGTGCTACAAACACAAGTGTAGCCGTTGTATCTTGGGAGTCGATTGCCGAAATCCGTAGGCACCGTTGCGGGGCAAATTCGACTTAAGGACAAAGAGTCCAACTCTTGTCCCGGCTTTGTCCCTACTTTCTTCTTCTTCTTGTTTGTGTTTTCTTTGTCGTTACTCTGTCCAATTTTCGACACGGATTTACAAACCATCATTATACTTATTTTGGCGTCACTATTCACAAAATTCCTCCAACATAATTCACATGTGATCTGCCCTCATGTGAGTATCTGTACGTCTTTTGTAAATTATTTTTCTGTACAATCGACTTTTTTCTTGTCATTGAGCCTGCTTGATTATTTTACTTCTTGAATTTGAAGGACATGTGGGGCTCTTAGAACGCAGCGCGTTTTATTGGCTTCTAATTAGTATTTATAGTAAGAAGAGAAGTACAAAACTCGAGGCAAGGAAGGTCTCATATTTTGCAACAAATTCTGAATTCTTCCCTTGGATTGCTGAATGCCCACATCATAATCATAATTATATACATCCTCTATCTCATAAACAAAGATTTGCTTTTGGGGTATTTGCAAAAATGTCAAATTTTACGTATATTAATTTAAAAATGTCCACTTTTGATAATCTTTCCAAAAATGATCAAATTTAATACCAAATCCTTTTTTTACTCTTAATGAAAGAATAAATAATTTTATATTGCACATGTAAAATCACAAGTAATGCTAGATGCAGAAATATCGAGAATAACATTTAAAGTGTAGAAAAATATCATTTTCGAAATAAAATGTCATTCTAGACATTTAATATTGCGATTTGACATGTATACTTTTGAAATATAAACGGATTCAAATATCGAGAACGACATTTGAAATGTCAAGAACATCATTTTAATATAGCTTCGCATGGAAGCTACTTAGGGGTACTCTTGTCCAAGTAATTACAAAAATGGACATTGAAAAATTTTGGACATTTTTACAAATAAGTATGTCAAAATTGACTTTTTTTGTAATTTCCTCTTTGGCTTTTTTATTTCGTTTGTCTCAAATTATAAATTGTTTTCTAATGAAAAGTAAAGTTAATTTCTTAAATTTTTAATTTATCATTATTTTATATATTGATTGTACTATATATAAATATGATTTACATATACATGATATGATGAGATATAATTAGGTCAAAATTTCTTCATCCAAAAATAATAATAATAATAATAACATTTCCCCAATTTCTTTTTGACATCTATATGTAAATAATTATGTACAAGTAACATTATTTTTAATAAATTTTATTACCAACAAAAAAGAACAATTTTTTATCTAAATAATTATTTAATGTAAGGATGTACTAGGAATAATCTAAGTGAATTTTATGTTTTTAACTATAACAATTATGCTATCTTAATGTGTATGAAAATGAAAACAAGTCTATTACTAGAAACGTAGGGAGTATATAATAATTAATATCTCGAGAACCTTTTCAATAGATTCCGATTTGCTAGCTCCCATTCGTAGTTTTGCTACAGATGAAACACAATGAATCTTTTTATGACGCTTCTTCCTTCTAATGATAGGCATATTTATGGTTCTTTTCTCCGAAATGAAGCAGCAGGCATCGGTCTACATATTATATACTCTTTGATCATACACTTTCAGGAACCAAAAGCGTAGATTTAAAGGCAATTAATAGTACGTGATATTGGACACAAAGTAATGCACAATTTATCTTCTTCAAAGTATGTAAACCTTATTTTTGGAGAACATATGTAATTAAAAGTAATGTTCTAAATTCCGTGCCTTGACGATGCCTACGCACTACCAAGATGCAAGGCTTGGAGAAAATACCAATTTAGCGGTCGACACTAGCGCACCTAGGCGCACCATGCATTATTAACATTTTTTTTTTCAATTTTCTTTTAACGTAAAGTTTTCATTGAAAGGTCCAAAAAGTTGTTTACTCACTTATTGACCCACTAATTTATAGAGGACATATCAAAGAATTTTGTTGTA